TGGCAGGATAAGGCCATCAACTCAAATGGCCTCGGGCTTAAATTAAAATAAGTTACCTTCTTCCTTCAATCAGGTCCGATCCGTCTCCAGGTGTGCTAAAACTGCTTCTTTCTTCTGTCCTTTTCTTTTCTATGGCAACCACCCTTTCCCCATCCCACGCTTGGGTGGCTTCAGTAATCTGCTAATTACTCTCCCTGTCTTCTGGGTCTCCCCTTTCCAATCTGTCTTGCAGGCTGTCACCTGAGTAAGTATTCTAAAATACAGCTTTACATCATGTCAGTTTTCTGTGGAAAACAACAAAACCATGCTGGGGCTCCCTGGTCCTTATAGTACAGAAAAATACGAGAAGTCTTCCACACGATACTTTAGTATTCCTCAGTGTGGTCTTCCAGAATTTATCCCTTACTGTTGTTGAGGAGGATCCCACCTGCCAGCCATAAAAATCACCAGTGGCTGGGGAATTCTTGAACAATAATGACGATAGTAACAATGGTGTAGTGTCTATCAAAATTAATTAAATTTGCCTTTTGACTTGCTGAGGTAGACTTGGAGATGTGCCTCCCAGGTTTCCTTTCAAGGGAGAACTTGCTGCCCAGCTGTGGGGCATGTGATCAGCAGATGTCCTCTACCTGTCAGCTTCTTGGACTGCGTTCCCAAGGCCATGCCTTTAGGGAGTGTTTTCCATCCAGGTACTGAGAAGGGTAAGGATAAAGACTTTGCTCCCTGGCTTTCTTCGTCGACTGGATCTATTGGACTTGTGTTGCCATTTTAACTTTTTTCTCCTCCCTGTCCTGTTTTCTCCTAGCTCCTAGACAACCTCTAGTTTACTTATCATTTCTAAAGATTTCCTGTTCTGGACATTTCATCTTAATGAAATCCTTAAATATGTGGGATTTTCTTTTGTGTGTGTGTGTGTCTGGCATAATATCAATAGCTCATTCCTTTTTATTGCTGAATACTATTCTATTGTATAAACAGACCATATTTTATTCATCCATTCATAAGTTGATGGACATTTGGGTTGCTTACACTTGTTTGGATTCTTATGAATAATGCTGCTATGAATATTTATATGTGGGTTTTTTGTGGACATATTTCCTTAATAAACGTTTTGCAAAATAAACTCTATCTCCGTGTGTGTTCCAGTGAATCCTAGGTAGTTCCCTCTGGGAATTTATTTTACTGATATATTTGTGTACTATAAAGTGACATGTTCACAGCATTATTTACAGCAGCATTATCGTATTGGGAAAATATTGGAAGCAACAGGATCAGAAGTTTAATTCAGAGTGGGAATGGGTTATGTGACCTGTTAAGTAGCACAGCAAGTCTGTGGTAGACCCAAGACTTGAACCCAGGCCCCTCACTCCATTGCAGGTCTTCCTTTGGCCCCCCTTACTCCCAGCTGGCTTCTTCATGTATGCATCTCACAAACTAGCTGCCCTGGGTTTAGAAATATCACAGTTTGCCATGTTTAAAAATCTGGAGTCTCCCGTGAAAAATGCAGATCATGAGCTGCCTTTTTAGAATGAAAAAGCACACTCTGCCAACGTTTGACTTGTGTGTCTCGCAGCAAGGAAGGCTGATGCTGGATAGTGGCTGCTCCTCTTATGTGGGGCTCCCAGTCCCCACCTCTCCCTCTGTGCGTGTCCAGCCAGCTTCTCATTCCCCGCTCCCCTTGTGAACTTGAATTCACAAGTTCAGCATTTTCTCATTTTGTGTGTGTGTGTTTCTAAGTGGCATCCGGCTGGTCATATCCTTAAGTGGAACCTAGCTCCTAGGTTTTCCCCTTGCTGATTTTCTTTCTTTGCTGGGAAGGAAAGGAGGAGGGGAATGGGAAAGTAGAGGAGAAAAGGAGAGGGAAATTGAGATGGTGTCTCTGTGGCTGCCATAATAAAATCCCAAAGATTGGGTAACTTGCACACAACAAAAATTGATTTTCTTACATTTCTAAGTTTAAGGGTTCAGCAGGATTTCACTCCTGGAGAGGGCTCTCTTCCTGGCTTATTGTCTACTTCCTTCCCACTGTGCACTCCTGGAGAAGACACAGCTCTGACATTTTTTCCTCTTTAAGGACATTAGTCTTATGCTAAGGTCAGAAGTCCTCTCATGATCTGTTTTCACCTTTACCACCTCCTCATTGCCCCATCTCCAGAAACAGTTACACTGGGTGTTTGGGTGTTAGCGTTTGGATTCTGGGGAGACATAAGTTGCTTCCTACGGCAAATCAGCATCTTGCTCTAGGTGATTTCTAAACTCCAGCCAGTTCCTTGCCTGTGGAAGGAATTCCTCCAATGGTGAACCCCCTAAGCTAGCTGCATTGGGTTTCTGGTGCTTACAACCAGGCGCGACAAGAAAGACTGTGAACGACAGACACGGAGATGCAGCATACGTGAGCATGGATCTCAGATTCCGCTGGCTCAGGCTCTCAGCTGATCCGTATTCACAGGCTGGTGACTTTAACTCTGGGGTCCTCAGTCGTCTCATCTGCAATTTGAGAATAAAGTAGAATTGAAGAGGTTGGGTTGTTGTTGGGATTTACCGACCTGAGCTACATAATGCCTTGGCAGAGTGCCTAGTACATAGTAAAGCACTTAATAAATGATCACTTTTTATAATAGTGATAATTATTGTTGGTATTATTAGCCAGGGCCCCAGCTGATTTGTTTCCAAGCCTTCTTCCAGTTCTGACATTCTCATCCTTGGGTTTTAACCTATTCTCACAATGGGCTTTTGGAGTGTTTGCCATGCTCCAAAAATTGTTTCTAGCATTTTGAGCAAAAAACATTTTTTTTTTCTGGCTTGAGGGACCTAAGCATTCATCAGATTCTTAAAAGGGGCTGTGACTTCCCACAATTGTTATGGAACACTTCTAGAATATAAGGATCCTACAATATTTCAGGGTGACCCCGAAGAAGTAGAAGTTGATCCTCCTGAGGATTAGGTTGTCGCTAAGACAGATTTCAGTTCAAAGCTTTAACGTAACTTCCAGAAAAGCTGAGCAATCTCAGACTCACAATCAACTTTATCAAAGCAATTTAGTGAGAATGTAGCTATCTCCCAGCGGTGTACAGCCCCACAGGGAAATAAAATTGGATGGGAGCATAAAGGACTCTTTTGTCCTTGGGAAAGGTCAGTGCGATTTGTGAAGGAGCCTTGTGTGTGTTCTGAGTGAGGTCCCAGGCTTGACCCTTTGTCAAGATTTGTGTTGGGACTTCAGGGACATTTACCGCAGCTGTGACCCTGCAAATTACAGATGAGAGGTGTCCTGGCCCGGAGACACCTTCCACATGTCCAGTTCAGATCAGCTATTTTACTCTGTCAAAACCTTTGGTGGCTGCCTGTTATTTAGAGCTATAGTTCTCACTTGGGGGTACCTGTGCTCTTGAGACGTGGCAATCATAGGAGAGTCCAAAAGCCACAAGTTAATGCTGGAGACATTCCTGGGAGTAGCAACCTTGAAGTTTTTAAAGCAGAGGGGAGTGGTTAAACATAAAGACAGATAATTAAGGTATGCCTACATTCGTGCAAGCTAAGACAAAAGTTGTTGGGAGAAATTTTGCAGCTAAATGTGTGCAGCACTTGAGTATGGGCAATTACCTATTCCATTCTGTTTGTAATACTTTCAGTGACTAAGTTGAAGATGTCCTCACGTTCACAATGAAGCCATTGTACTTCACAGCACAGCATGAAAAACACTTTGCAGTTTGACCTAAATCTTTGGAATCAAGATGGTCCCAAGCAGCCATAGCCTTATAGACTACTGATGTTCACTGGGTCATGCGCACATCCAAAACACAATTATGATTCTGATTGGCCAAACTTGGGCCCAGAGGGCAGTCATCAGCTTCATCTGAAACTCAAGGCCTGAGAGTATTCAGGACACTGTTTTTAGAAGAGCCTAGGGACACTGAGCATGTCAGTCCACAGATATTCCGTACCATGTAAGGTGTGCCCAATCCCAAAGCCCACAGTTTCTTTAGTAACATTCTTCTCGTGTCCCTTTTATGGAGGCGAGAGCTGAAGTCAGGGAAGGGCAGGGTCATTCCAAAAGTCACTCACTGAGTTAGTGGCAGAAGTGGCTTTGGGACCTGGGTCTCCTGGGCCCAGTGAAGACCGCAAGTCTAAGTTGCTCTGGAGATGGAGGAGCGAATTAGTTTGGCAAGCATGGAGGATGATCATGGTGCATAGCATCATAATTCCATTTGTTACCTTGTGGACATTAGCGTAACAAGAGGATAAACAGCAATGAAAACTGATCAGATGGCTACTGACAGGCAGAAGCCTGAAACCCAAACATTGAGCAGATAGACGTTAGGATGTCAGCTTGGTGCATAGGTGAGAGGCTCCTAGAACGTTTGTGAGTCTGGTACATCACTGTCCTCTGAAGATTTCCTCTCACTCTCATTGCTGTAACTCGACTTCTGACAGCACCCTCACCTGTGGTGTTTTTCTCACTCATGCTTCTTACTCCTCAGTCTGGAAGTGCACTTACGTCCTCCCTGCTCCTGCTGGCCCCTTCCCGATCCTTTCTCCCTCCCAACCCTGCTCTCCTGTCATCCATCCCTCACCCAAGACCTCACTTTGTGGTCACTCCTCCCTCTCACTGATATTCTCCCAATAGCTGATGACTTCATGACCTGCGCGCCATCACCACATGGGTGTTTCAGTAGTAAATCAAGTTTCTCCAACTCTGGACCTGAGCTCCTATGTGTAGCTTCCATTTCCCTTATAGCTCTGCCTTCCACAGGGTCACTCAACTCTGTTAATGGTAAAACCATTCTTTCAACGGCTCAAAACAGAAGCTGCAACTCCTTTTATTCTCACACATCTTTTTTAAAATTTAATTTATTGGTACATTCTAGGTAGACAGTACAGTTACATTCATTACTGGATTCTCACACATCTTTTTTAAAATTTAATTTATTGGTACATTCTAGGTAGACAGTACAGTTACATTCATTACTGGATTCTCACACATCTTATCACTAATCCTATAGGTCCCATCTTGATACGATGGAATACTATACACCAATAAAGAAGAACAAGCTACAAATGCAATGATGTGAATGACTCTCAGAGTTATAACGATGGATGGCAGAGGCCAAATGCGTGACAGTTCCACCTACGAGCTCGTGAAGTTCAAGAACATCTAAAACACCTAGAAGTCAGAATATTGGTTACCTCTGGGTGAGTAGGTGAGATGCATTTAAAAGTGGGACAAGACAAGGGCAACTTCTTGGCTGCAAAAAACGTTATCCAAAGTGCTCCCTGTGGCTGTTTCATGGGTAGACACGAATGTGAATTTCACCGAAGTGCATTCTGAAGGTTTGCTGTGTGTATTTCATACTTCAATGAAAAGTGAAATATACATATCTAGAATCTAGCCCTTCGGTTACCTTGCCCTATAGGTCTCCTTCCCGTGTGGCAGTATTGGAGGAGGATTCCTCTCCTTCCCTCATTTACCACGTTCATAATATGGGGAAGTCTTTTCAGCTCTATTGTCAGAAATATCTAAAATCTGTTCTCTCTGCTCCACCTTCATTTCTCCTTACTAGTGTAAGTGATGATCAGCAGTCACCTGGGCACAGAAATAGCCTCGTTCATTCTTTTTGATGATTGCATAGTATTTCATTACTATATGAGCTGAATGGCAGCCCCAGAGATATGCCCGTGTCATGGTCCCTGGAACGTTGTCGCAGTTTCCTTGAGCTGTCGCAACAAAATCTATGGATGATGTGGTTTAAGTGGCAGAAATTTGTTTCTCTTAGTTCTAGAGGCTGGGCAGTCCAAGGCAAAGTACCAGCAAGGTACGTTTAATACTGAAGCCTCTTCGTTGGCTTGTAGGCAGCCGTTGTCTTGCTGTGTGCTCTGTGACTGCTGTGTACGAGGGATGATTTGAGTTGGGAGGAGGGGTAGAGAGAGGAAGAGAGAGGGGTAAGGAAAGAGAGAGAGAAGGGGGAAGGAGGGAAGGAGGGAGAGAGAGAGGCAAAACCCAAGAAACATTGAAAGTCAGCAGAAGCAGGAAGCAGAATTTTCTTTCGAGCCTCTGGAGGGAGCATGGCCCTGTCGATACCTTGCTTTTAAGCTTCTGGCCTTCAGATGTGATACAATAGAACATGCTTCTGACATTTTCAGCCACTGCAACTGTGGCAACTTTGACGAAGCTTAAGGAGACTAATACGCTGTACTGTAACTCATGGGGTTCACTCCCTACTGATGGACTTTTAGGTTGCTGCCTTTTTTCTCTCTATTTCAAATCATGTTGCTGTAGACATCGTTGTGCATTGTTTACTCACAGCTACACATGTGTGTCCTGGAGAATCTCCTGAAAGTGGAGGATGGGTTCATGACCACGAGCAGTTAAAAGTCTGATAATTGTTAGGGATTGTACTCTTTCAAAAGTTGCTCTTTTGCTATGCATCTCACATGCATATAAAATTGGTATTAACTTCTTTCACAAGTTAGAACACAGAGGCTCACAGAGTCATGTGCTCAAAGTTATGCATTTGTGAAGTGGCTAAGCCGGGATCTAAATCCTGTCTCTCTGATTTTTTTGCTTAAGAAAATGAATATAAGTCACTTAGCACTTGCTGTGGTTTCATTGTGTCTCCAAAAATGTATGTGCTGGAAACTTAATCCCCAGCTGAGCAGTGGTAGGAGGCTGGGGCTGGGTGGGAGGGTAGTGTCCTCAGGAACAAGTTTCTATTGCTATTGCAAGAGTAGATTAGGTATCGCCAGTGTGGGTTCTGTATCGTGAGAGTAGGTTGTTGCTCTTGTAGTCTTTCTCTTGTGCGTCCTGCTGTGGGATAATGCAGCATGACACCTCACCTAAGATGCAAACCTCTGGGTCGTGGACTTCTCAGCCTCCAAAATTGTAAAATATGAATCTCTGTTTTTTTATAAGTAACCCATTCTGTGGTACCATGTTATTGCTACACAAAATGCCCTAAGACCACACTCTATTTAATAACTAAGTTAATTCTTATTATTACACTTTGGTTTTTTTTTTCTCAAGATATGTCATTGTGACCATTAATCTTGATTGTCAGATGGACTGGGTTAAAAGATGCTTAGCAGATTAGGAAAGTACCTTTGTGTGTGTGTGTGTGTGTGTGTACAGATGATTGACATGTATGTGAGTAAATGGAGGGGGAAGACCCTCCCTGAGGTGGGTGGCACCATACAATAGGCTTATAGCACTGATAGAATGAAAAGGGGAGAAGAAGGAAGTTGGCCTCTGTTTGAAAATCTCCATTCTTCTCGAGACGGTGTGTCTTTTGCTACTGTCGTTTTCTGTGGACATCGGACTCTAGCTCTTAACCCTTTCAACGTGGACTCACCCCAGTGATTGTTCAGGGAGCGTCCAGGCATCAGTATTGTTGCAGCAGTGTATCCTCAATCCCTCTTGCTCCGAGGTGTCCAGCTTCTTCGACTGAGCAGCTACTGGATTCTCTGGCTCTCCGGAGAGCAGGTAGACATAGTGGACTATCCGGCCCCTGATCCTACTTGATAAACACCTTTGCATAATTATATATATTTTCCATTTATTCTATTCTAGAGAACCCAAACAAATGGGAAAACGGTATCATCATCTATGATGAAATTAACAGATTCTTACTTAGTAGCGACTATGCCCATATATCGACCTTGATGCAGGGATACAGGGATACAGCAGTGAACACATGAGATACCTCCCTCCCTGGAGCTTATCTTCTGTCAGAGATAGATTTTGCTTTAATAATCCCAGTATGGAGTGAGTGCCAAGTTAAGACATTTGGAGATAGGAGCCTTGTTGCTCTTTAAATCTCTGCCTGAGACAGGCCAGTCCAGTTCTCCCCACTGATTTCTAACACTCCAAACCTCCGTGCCAGCTAGGAAAGTCCTGAGAAACAGTGATTTGTCAGTACCAAGGTTTACTAACGTTTAAATCAAAGTTAGAAGCTGAAGAGTCAGCCCTGAGTCCAGGGTGGATTTTACAGGTCAGTGAGGCTGAACAGCAACCCCAGGCTGGTGATGAATGTATTGAGATCTCTCGCTGGCTCTGCCATTGTGTTATGTTTTAGATCTAAAATGTTCATTTGAAGTCTTATGTGTTTAAAAAGTGATTGGATTGGGCCGGGGATTTAGCTCAGTGGTTCTGCAAGCACTTGGTCCCAAGTTTGATCCCCGGTACCAAAAAAAAAAAAAAAAAAAAAAGTGATTGGATTATGGAGGTGCTACACTCCTCAGTGGACTCATTCGCTGATGAGATCAGTAGCTAAATGTGCTGTTAGAAAGTGGGGTCTGGTTGGAGGGTCACTGGGAATGTGACCTGGAAGGAAATATCCGCATCCTCTGATCTCCCTTCTTTCTCTGCTTTCCGGCTGTTTTGGGTTGAGTACCTCTTTCTCTTCCAGGCCCCTCTCCCATGCTATTTGTACCTTGGAGGCAGCTGACCATGGACTGAAACCATGTGCCAAAAATAAACCTCTCTTCCTTTAAATTGTGGGTGTCATGTATTTTGTCCCAGCAACAAGAACGTGACTAAGATACTTGGCCACCATGAGCTCAGTGCCTTCATTTCCTTAGGCTTTTTGGAGAGTCTGGAATAGTGATCCAGGCTGGAATTCCACTGTCCTCCAGGGGTCTGCAGAGGATTTGCTCACGGCCTGGTTCCTGGATGATCTGGGGCATCTTCCATCCTGGGAAGGCCAAACTAGCCGTGGAAAGATGCCTTTTCTAGAAAGCAGGGACACAATACTTGAATGTATGACTATATGACATTTTCTCCACCCATTCATTCCTTGGGATGATGTCTGGTATTACCCATTTAAAAGCTTTTTTTTCCCCTCTCTACCCCATGCTCAAATTCAGAATGTGCTCACCAGTAGATGAATAACCAGAGAAAAGATGGTGTGGTTTTCTTCTCTTAAAACACATAAACTGACTTGTCAGAGAGAGAAAAAGTACAGAATAGTATGAACGAAGCAGTGTGAAGTGCTCATGGGCGATGGGTTTGGAAGTTTTGTGTTGAGCTGAGAATGAAGGCTGTGTGGAGGGGTACGGGGAGTTGATAAGGGAGACAAAATAGTCCTTTAAACAGGTGTCTCTGAAGGTCATGACTTTGATCTCTCTCCAGTGTTGACCAAGAGCTGCAGATGACTGAGCTAGCATACTTTTTTGTTGCTGGGATGGATTTCTTTAATTTTACAATGTTCCACTCTAGGCCACATGGAAACTGAGTCTAAACAGGATTGAATGTGTACCTTTCACCCCATTCTGGCTTCTAATAACTGCTGCACTGACCATTCTGAGACCCTGCTGTGATCGTTGGTGGTCTTGATCCACATGTGCCATGCTAGCAGCTTAACACATAGCAAGAGCCCACTGAGCAGCAGCCACTGTGCTAAGCTTTTTAGGCATATTTCTGTACCTAATGCTCATAAAAAGGCGAAGAACTTACTGAAACAGAGATGGAACAACTTGCCCAGGGTCACACAGCTAGTAGGCAGTGGGTGTGGACCACAAAGTGCGATTACAGAACTGGTACTCTCATCCTTTCTTCTAAGTAGGCTTTCAATTCTCCTTGCACCGTCGTAGTAGCTCGGTATTATGTTGTGATTTGAAGAGACACCTTATTTATCCTCCTAAACTTAATCAGTATTTCTTAGAGCCCCTTGTCTCCCTAGGGTACACACATACACACTCTTACACACATCATTTAGCTTATGTCAGCTCCCAGCTGTTGCTTTTTACCTGGATCGTCTACATTCAGACTTCTGTTGCCTTTCAGGCTTTTGTTCTCTGGCTACACTGGTGCTGATCTTTTCCTTCTGTGATGACATTGCCGTCAGAACGTGAGCCATCCTTCCTTACAGCTGTACTTCCACTGTTTGCTCTAACTCCCTTTTAGATGATTTTATATATATATCTCAACTATAGATAGGATTTAGTCTTCTCTGTCTGGTATTCTGAATAAATATTCAGGGTGTTAGTCATCTGTAGGTGGAAGTCTGTAAATCCCAGTTCTATCCCTGCTGGGCTCTCCGTAAGATTTTAAATGTTATGTGTCACATTATAAGCAGCCTACAAGTGGAGTTATTGATAATGCATATATTAAGCCAGGCGTGGTGATGCATGGCTGTAATCCCAGCCCTCGGGAGGCTGAGGCAGGAGGAATGCTGTGAGTTCGAGACCAGCCTGGGCTA